GATTATCTTTACACAATTAGGGTTATCTACCGTTTTACTCGTTATTCTTTCCATACAAGCCTATTAGTCTAAGCAGTTAATAACAGCGGAAAGTAAAGTGCGATAATAAAAACCTAGCTATTACAAGGCTTCGGGGAGGGGTTACATAACCAAAAATGGGGGGTAAACAGTAAATGAACAACACTAAAATAAACCTAATTAAAATCTATTACAACCTTGGAACATATACAATAAAATAATGGAAAAAGGATACGCGCGACAAAATTAAGTACGGAGAATTAGGGCTTGAATTCTAAGGAAACCTAATTAGTGAAAGAAAATATTTTTTGTATTTTTATTTAAGAAAATATTTATGAATTAACCCTAATTTTATAATTGATTTAAATTATGAAAAAGAAATTAGATTGCCCTAAATTAAATTAATCTACTTAATTAACAAAATTAAATTTAGTGGAAAAACCTAATTCTAACATTTTATGATTTTATTGATTTTTTGTTTAGTTAAAAAATGATCTTTTAAAAATAAAGAAAACAAAATAAATAAATTAAAGAAACAATAAGAATAAAAAATGAATGGGCCTGATGTTGTTGAGTAATCTGGGGGGGTGCAGCGTTGAATTTTGTAAAGCCCAAATCATACAAGCCCAATGCCTGCCTGATCCAATGTTGCCACATCTGGGATGTCCATCCTGGGGAAATGCTCTAGGAGCGCCAGATCTGGACCCACTAAAATCCAATGGCTGGATTTGGAGATGCATGGTTGACATCTGAGTATGAGGCGCACTGGATCCTGCATAGAACGTTAGGAAAATAGCAAAATGTACACGCCTGGGATCGAACTCAGGTCTTTGGTTTCACACGTCCATGTCCTTGCTATCTATGCTGATTGTTCATTCATACATATAAATAAAACAAAATTATATAATGTGAAAACAAAGCAAATGCTGAGTTGTCAAACACGCGCCAACAAGTGGGACCCTTGTAATTGAAACGAGCCAATCAAACGCAGAGAGAGAGAGAGAGAGAACTAGTTGATGCCAGCCAATGAAACGTTGTCTTTTTGCTATGCAGTAAGTCAACCGGTCTTGCTCTCATCGGTGCCGGAGGCCAGTCGTCTTCTTCGACGGTATTCTAACTTGAACCTGCAAAATACGTGATATAAATATGCCAAAGGTACCTTATCCCACTATTTCAGGGGTTGCGATCACGATGATGGTGGTCTTTTAGCCTGAAACTGGCTGTAAATGCAGATACGAAGGAGGAAGACCTTTTTGCCCTAACAATGGCATGTTGTTGTTCTGGCGTGCATGTTTGCTGGTAATGGTTCAAAACTCTTGAAAATACGATATTAAACACAAATATATGCAAAGATCTCATTTACATGCCATGAAATAAAAGTTTGAAGCTTGAGAAATTTACCAATCCGGTGACTCTTGATCTGGGCATTTGAGGGTGCTGCAAGCCTGGATCTGGACATGGATAGACTCCTGAGAATCTCTAGGCATGGATTGAAGGCTTAGGTTAGACTAAAAGAGGCTGGGAGTTGCACTTTGGAATTTCACGATTTTCAATTATTTTTTCAATTTTGGTATGAGTACTTAGGGATGCGTATCTGTGTCCTTGTGCTTTTGAATAGCCATGCATATATAGTGAATCATATTAGGTTAACAAAATTGGAAGAAATCTTTGCTTTCATTGAGAAAATAATTTCTTTCAATAATATGATTTTTGCATATTTGGACCAAATCAAATCTTGCTCTTTCTCCACAAGTTTGCCTTGATATGCCAGCACATCTTGCCCATTATTTGATGAGAAGAAGATTTGAAATCAAATCTTACATTATTCCTTTTATTTATTTATTTAATTTTGCATTTTTAATAGATAAAATCTCAAAATAAATAATATAAATAGAATAATAATGTATGAATGAGCTCAAAGGTCGTGGGCTATGTTAGAAATAAATTTCAAGCATGAAAAGATGGGCCCATTTGAAAAAAAAAAGTCATTTTGATCAATGGTGACTTCATGCACATTTCCAAAAATTGGTCAACTTTAGCAATGCATATCTCTCACATTTTTAACCCTAAGAGGGTGTTCTTGGACTTTTTAGAAAGCTTAGGATGTTCTATAAACAACCTTTTTAGTTTCATCTCAATTGGATCTTCCATGTTCATGTAAGAATCTTTGACCCAAAAGGTGTTTTTGTTGACTTTTTGAAATGACCTATAATGTGTGGATTTATATCTTTTCATGAGTGCATTTCTTGAACTTGAGGGCTAAAGATGAATTGTAGGGAATTGGATTCTATTCAAAATGAGCCTTGGATGAGAAATTTTTGATAAAGTATGAGAGAGTTATGCCTAGTCAAAGTTTGGTTGACTTTTTCTATAGAAACCCTAATTTAGCAACTTTTGAGTTTTGATGAATTTGGGAGCATTCCTTGAGGAATCATGATTAACCCTTGATAAAATGATGGATATAACTTCAAAATGTTGATGTTGACCAAAAATATTGAAATTTGACTGTATGTGGGCCACAGTTGACTTTTGACCTAGTATAGTTGATTTTCAGGCATCTGAGCAGTTGACTGAGCAAACTCCTTGTGCAATGCATGAAACTTGGCATGGATGATCTTGAGAACATATTAGGGAAATGTAAGTCATTTAGGACCCTTGGAACTCAAACATCTTGATGAGGAGTGAAACCCTAGTTTGAGGCTCATTGTCTTAGGAGGAGGATTTGTCTGGTCAATCCTTAGTCAACCTTGAGCAATTGAGGACCTCTAGGAGTATGTTTTGAGTAAAGATGGGAGGGAAAATTTTGGGGTACAATAGAGAGTAAGATAAATTTAAATTATCTTGTTCTTTTATAATTTGTTTCTTTTTCAGTTATATCATAGATATAAGTGTGCTATCTTAATCTTGGATTTGGAAAAGATCTTATTTTAGCAAGATTTCACGTGGAATGCTTAATTTGTATTAATCATGGATCTTAATATTCCTAATAAAGATTTGATTGATTATGTGTGTTTTTGGAGAATATGATCTAAATAAAATATAACAAGATTAATCAAGAGATTCAGATCTATTTAAGGTGATCAATCAAGATTGGATATCATCATTATTGAAGATTGATCTCATGTGCTTTTTTAGAAGTCTAACAAAATTCATGGCCTAAATCCTTATGGGCTTTTGGAGATGGAATTTTTTTGTTATATAAGGTGTTCATCTCCTTTATGAATACTTATAACTTTAGATAAAAATATACTCTATAAGAGAGTTTTATTTTTGTCTTGTCTTTGAGTTTTTGATGTAATACTCTATTCCTATATACTAATTCTATAAGCTTGAGAACATAGAATTTGTGTGAGTTTAGTTGTTCCCTATTTTTAATCATATTGTAATTGTTCGAACACAAGGAGAGTGTTTGAGTAAAAGTTAAAGGGGTATCTTATTCACGGGAGCCTGAACGAATCTTTACAAGTAGTATTATTAAAATGGCCTTGAACCGGGAGAGTTAAGAGTAAGCCCATTTGTCTTTCTAACTATTGGGAATGGAGTCGTTCTATCAGGAGTCCTTAATAGAAATTCAGGGGTAGCATTATAAAGAGAGGCACTGAACAAGGTTTGTTCATCTAAGTCTATTTTTAAATTTACTATTAAGAGTGAATTTCTTTTCTTGGGTTGAATTCCCTCCATACTTAGGTGATATTGCATCGAGCTGGATTAAAATTCCTATGTTATTTTTATTCTTCCATTATTCTGTTTGTTACATAAGTACATTGTCATAAATATTGTGCCATACATTGTGTTTGAATCTGTCCATTTGAAGAACATAATTTCGATTGGCATCAAAGCAGAAACTCTTTTCTGTTTGGATTGGTTCCATGGTTCTTATTTTGTTCAAGATGGAGAATTTCAAAGAAGGAGAAGCATTTCATCGACCAAAGATTCTTTATGGTGCTAAGAATACTTCAAAGATTTTAGCCAAATACAATTATGAAAATTGTGAAGACCAAGTAGAATATGATATAGAAGAAAATCTCAAGTTTGCTAAGATCTTGAGAAAGTCCGTGAGAAGAGTGGACAAGAGATATGGGAATAATGTCCCTATCAATGTCAAGGACAATGATCATCACAATTTTAATAGGTGTAAATTTCAGTATAAGGGAAAAGATGGTGAAAAAATTCTCAATTATTCTTATAGAGGCAAAGATATCCAATGTCTTAAATGCAGAGTCTTTAGACATATTTAAGTTGAATGCTCAAGTTTTCTAAGGAAACAAAGAAAAATATACAATGTTACTAATGATGATATAAATGAAGAAGGTAAATCTAATCAAGCAAACAATGTTGTCAAAGATATGAAATGTGTTATATATACTGGTGAGCCATCCAATTCAAAGAATATGTGTGTTACTCCTATTCAGAAAATAGAATGCACAATGTTAGATACAAAAACTAAGTTATGGCACGAGAAGCATGATATTATGAGGAACTTTGTTGTAAAGAAAGTTGTCTTTTGTATGTCTGGTCTCAAAATTGAAGAAGGTAAAATTTATGACGTTTGTCAAGTTGGGAAACAAACTAAGATGTCATATAAGACGTTTCAACATCTTACTCATGTTTCTAAATTAACATTTATGGACTTTATAAGACTCGTGAAATGAGTTGTCATTAAAGGAAGGGCCAATGGTCAGGCCAAAGGTCTTCCCAACATTGAACAAACAATGGTGGTTTAGAAGAAAACGCTAAAAAAGATTAGTGATTATGGCACAATTCTTCCTTTTGGGGTTCCTTTTCATATTTTTGGAATTTTAACTATTCAAAAACATGATATTGTGTTTGGTGAAGTTGAAATTTCTGTTCTTGTTAGTCTGCTAAATTTTTTTTATAAGTTGTATGTCAGGAAACATGTCTGAGACATTGTTCTCCATAAAATTCCATATTTTGATGAATCTGATTTGGCTGGTGGTGAAAACATTCTTGATGTTCCACTCATGCATTGGCCTGTAAGAAACCATTCTCTCCTTCAAAATATTGTTGTTGATGAGACCCGAGAAACCAATCTGAGGGATCAAGATATTGATAAAGATGTGTTGGACATCCAGTCTGACATATTGGAAATAAAGTCTCTAATTCATAAGGAGAATGATAATGTGAACCCTGAGTATAATGTTGAAAAGGAGGATGAGAAAATTTTTACCAACAACCCTTAAAAGATCATTGGCAATTATATGAGTAATAATGATCATGTCCATGAAGAAGTTGAGGTTGATATTGTTGCAGCCCATTTGATTTTGTTAATAACAATAATAAGAAAATATAATCTGCATCAAAAGGAAAGAAGGTTCATGCGGTAGAAGATATGGAGGAAGATGTTAATGACAACTTGAACGACATAGAGGTACCTATGAACAATAAAAGTAATGAGATTGTTACTAGAAAGAAGGTATAACTTTTAGCATAAGACTATGCTTAAATCAAAGGGTTGACTTTGATGAAGCTTCTACTTCTATTGCTCATCTTGAAGCCATCACAATGTTTCTGGGTTTGTCTTGTAGCCTTACATTCGCACTTTATCAAATGGATGTGAAAAATGACTTCCTCAATAAGTACTTGAATATGGAAGGTGTCAACCAGAATGTGCCATATAACCTGTATGATATGTTGGTGACAAAGTTTCCAACTCATAGGAAAGATGATCAAGTTGCCAAGCTTGATGAACAAGATGGGGTACTCAATGTTGTACCTCTTAAGATGATTGTACCCGTTTATTTTCTAAACACAAGAGCAAAGAATGTTGACTTCAATAAGAATAAGGCAACTGAAATGGTAAGTCCCTTTGATAAAGATACCTTTATGCATGCTCATGTTGATAAGCTTATTGATTCTTGGAATAAAGACAGTGGGGCCACCTGTTGAACATCATGTTGAACCATTTGTCGAACCTCTTAATGAACCCACTACTAAATCAACTATTGATATACATATATTTAATACGTACCTAAATGGTATCTTGAATAAAGGCCATGGCTCTACTAAAGACCCGAGGGATCAAAACCCTCAAAATGAAGAGCCCAGAGTTCAAGGTAAATAGAAGGTGAAGATTAATGAACATGATGTAAAAGGAGTTATAAATGTTAAAATGTCTATTGAAGAAAAGAAGCTTCCCAAGAACTCTCCATTTATTCCTTTTCATTCTGAATAAAGTATAGTCAAATGGAATTTTGCTTACAATAGTAAAATGACTCTAGATAAAAAATATGTCGAAGCACTGGAGTATAATGAAATTATAGAGCTTTTTTAATTATGATCAGTTGTTGAAGAAAATGCTTAATGTTGGATCTAGTTATCCTAAGTTGATAAATTAATATCTGGTTAAGAATAATGGTATTACTCCTTGGTTGTTGAATTTCAATTGTAAGTTATTTATTGGGAAAGATGCCATTGGCATTAGTCTTCCCAATGTTCATGTTATTAATGAATATGGTTTTGGTAATATGCTAAGTCTACAATCAGAAGCAATCTACTGTTGCATCACTGGTTTTCTGTACCAGGTAGGAACTTATTCTACCTTGGAATATGGCAAATGTTGGTTAAACATGTTAAGGGTCATGGCACTCAACCATTTATTGTGTTCCCTGTAACACCCTGTTTTCGATTAAGTTATTTTAATTAATTTATTTGTGACTTTTGTATGATTTATTTAATTGTTGTGTTGTTGTAATTAATTAAATACAATCCTTAGGGGTGTATGTTATAGAGGTAGAGGTGTAGAGAGTAAGCTGAAAGTGGTAGAGTTGATTAGAACTGTTCAGAATTTATTTGGAATTTTAAATAATTAAAATAATAGTAAATTTTGCAGGTTTATTTAATTAAAATGATAAATATGAGGAGTTGTGCCATGTTTGAGAATTAATAGAATTAGAGGGAGGAAGAAGTAAGAATAATTGTAAGTGAGAGAGAGAATAATAATTTTAATTAGAATATACCCTACTTATATAAATTAAGAGGTAACCTAGGTTTAAAGAGTCTTTGGTCAGAATGTAGAAACAATAGTTGGGGAAAATAGAGGTAAGAGGCTAAGAGGACAAAAAATACTTAGAGCATTTGGAGGAAGAAGATGTAAGAACAATAAGTGTTTCTACAACTGGCCTTAAGATTTTGATGATAATTTTACATGATATCATAAAGAAAATTTTATACTCTAATGGTTTTATTCTAGTGTGTAGTTGCTGCTGTAATGTTCTAACTCTGGTATCAAGGCGTGTGACGTCATCAGGTTTTGAACATAAACACTACTAGAAGAAAACATTTGGTTACGTGTTACAGTTGAAGTCAAGATTCTGGAATCCGTCTTATAAAACGGTTCTTAGGAACATTAGTACAAGAGGTTTTGATCGTGATTTATGGTTAAGCTTTGGAGACCTTGTAAAACTTTGCTTCTGTGTGTTCTAAGTTTTGAATATTATCAAGACGAGTTTCTGCTAAACAGTTTCTGATGATCTGAAGAAAAACAAGTTCTTGTGACCAAGTGCTGAAGACTTTGAAGACAAGGTTTGGATGGGATAAGTTCTGAAGACTCCAAGACTTAGGTTCTAAGATTTAAGAGTGTTTCTTCTACAAAAAGCTTCAAACATTCAAATTATCCGAAGCCTATGAAGTTTAGAAGAAACTTAAAATGGTTAACGTGTGACGGTGTACAAAAGGTACAAAAAGTGCTTTGTGACCTTTATCCTCTAGGGTGGCGTAAGGACATTCCTTTCACACTGTATTATCAACCACTCGCATTATGACAGTTGGGAACAACCAAATGTATTCCATATTATCTTTCTACCCTTAACGGATCTATGTCTACAAGCTAAGTAGAAAAACATCTATTGAATATAAGGTTAAAGTTAAACGTTGTAAAGTGACGAACAATGAATAGTATCATTATGTACTGTCTAGACTCTTACACCTTATTCTATTTGTTAGGAACTAACTATTGATGCAGGAAAGGATTTTTTAATCCTAACAACATCTCTCACTCTCTATCTCTCAAAGCTATAAAAGAATATCAAAGATTTTAAGTAAAGTGCTCTTGGCCATTAAGCTGAAAAGTCGTGGATGATGAAATTATCAAAGCTACAATGCTAAACATGCTGAAGACCACTACACATAAATGATAGAAAATAAAGAAAGATAAAGAAGAAGAAATCTACAATATGCTACACAAACTATCATCATATATATCTTGGTAGATCTCAAAAGAAGCAAGGAGTTGTTGCTCGTAACTTACTCAACAAGAATATGAAGAAGAAGAACACTACAAGATGCTACCCAACTTCTGATCAAATACATCTTGATTGAACATTGTAATTTACACAAGAGTTGTTGCTCGTATTGTGTTATAGTTCTAATCTCTTCATATAAATTGTTTTAACACAAGAGTTGTTGCTCGAAAATGTATTAAACAATATGCGCTTAAATCACTTGTGTAATTTATTTAGAAGAAGCAATCATGTAAACACAAAACCTTATCAACCGTTACTGATTGATTCCTTGAGTGACCAAGTGAATGTTTAATCTCAAGAAGACAGTGGTTGCGGGTCATTGTAGAAAATCCTAATAGGAGATCTTAAGTGATCTTCTGTTGGATCAATGATTGTTATATTTGTTAACCGGATCACTGAACATATCATTGAAAGGTTCTTTGAGTGACTAAATGAAGGTCTAATCTCAAGAAGACAGTGGCTACGGGTCATTATAGAAAATCCTGATAGGAGATCTTAAGTAATTCAATTCTATTGGATCAATGATTATTATATCCATTAAGTCGGATCACTGAACATATCATTGAAAGGTTCCTTGAGTGACCGAGTGAAGGTCTGATCTCAAGAAGATAATGGCTGTGAGTCATTGAGGAAAACCCTGATGGGAGATCTTAAGTGATATGATTCTATTGGGTCAATGAATGTTATATCTGTTAAGTTGGATCACTGAATGTGTCATTGTCTGTTAGTCACCGATGGTTGCCCATGCATTTGTAATTAGTTTAGTTATAGTGGATTAAGTCCTTGTTAAAGGTAAATCACCTTGAGGGGTGGACAAGATTAACCTTGTTAAGGCGAACCTGGATAAATCACTTGTGTTCTTTATTCTTCATTGTCTTTATAGCTTTTATCATTTGAGTGATTAGAATTTCTAAAGGGGAATGTTTTCTTAAAACCCAATTCACCCCCCCCCCCCCCCTTTCTTGTGTTTTCTCTACCTTCAATTGGTATCAGAGCCCGACTATGTTATTGATTCAAGAATCAAGCACTTAACTGTGTAGAGAGATACAACAAGAGAAAAAAAATTGGATACTATTTACTCAAATGATTGAAAGGTTTTCTTTTTAAAATGCTTCTTTGTAAGATATCAAAATCATGAATAGGAATCATAAATGAAGACTGAATCTCTGGAAACAAGTTCTCAGAATTATGAAGAGTCAACTACCTAATGGAAAAGGAATTCATCTTCTCAACATCAGAAGTTATCCATCAGAAGTAAAGATCAATGTTCAAGTACTACAGATCATCAACTGAAGTTGTCATCCAAATGACAATTGCTGCAAGCAATTATGGATCAAATCAACATCATCTTGAGTAGATCTGTCAAAATCTTGGAAGAAGGCAAAAGCTTCTAAAAGATAGTTGCTTCAAAAGTCTAAAGAAGAATCTGCTGAAAGTTCAGTATATTTGTCCATAGCACTCAGAAGAATATTTTTCCCAGCAAACATGTTCAGAATCACCAGTAAAATTAATGGATATTCAGAATCTATTTTGATATGGGAGTTAAGCCAGTGTGCCTAATCTCAGAAGTAATGGAGTTGCTGCTAAAGTTCAAGAAGTAAGAGAATTCTAAGATGCTCTTCAAGAAACTTCTGATGATAAGACTCCTCTACATAAGTTCAGGCAAAGGCTACCATTTCTGAAGAACCGTTTATGGGACAAAGAATGTGAAATACAAGAAGTGCTCAACAAAATGGCTGATCAGAAACAAGCTCAATGATGAAGGTAAAATCTTCACGAGCAGGATATGCCGGGTTAGAACTTACATGTCTTCTGATAGAGTATTTTCTTTTTGTCATTTTTCTTTCAAATATTAGTAAAAATAAATAGTAATTAAAATTAACTAAAATCTTTTTACATCTAGTATAAAGAACTTTTAATATTTTCAAATAATTAGAAGTGCTCAAGGAAGAAACTATATTAGTTTTAAATCAAGTCTATCCCTTGAAAATTGAAAAATCTAAATGCATTAAATGGATTGTCTTTTGAAACACGCCTGATGATTGATGTGATTCGTTGAGAAGTGAGATAATCCTGAGACTAGGTGAAAAATCTGTTTGCCTTACCCCTTGTCAGATTTTTGCTCTACTCAAAGTTTTGATAATCAATACAAATTCAAATACTCACTCACTTCACCTCTCACCCAAATCTCACTCCACTTCCTACACTCTCGCTACTTTTAGCCCCAACTCCTTAAAACCCTAAAAAATTTCCGTCTGGGTTCAAGTCCGTTCATCATCATCAATGGCTTCTCAAAAATCAACTGATGGCACATCATCTCATCCAGAGCAAATGGATATCGACTTTCCTTAACTTTAATGTTCCATTCCTACATCTCAGCTACTAGTTCTATCTGAATTAATTGTGAACTTTGGAAATCTCAAGGAAAATGGTTATGCTCTTTAATTAGATGTTTCCTTGCAAGGATGGGAAACCTTCTTTGAAATTCTAAAAGATACCACCTTTCTTAAATTAGTTAAACAAATATAGATTATGGAAAATTAATCCAAACAAGAAATCACAATGTGATACGGTGGTAGAACCGACTGTTTATACTGGTTTGCATTTTGTATTTGCAAATGTTGCGGTAAGCAAGAGTCGCCACCGACTTTTCTTTTATCCAACAAATGAAAGGGTGAAAAGAATTAAAAAAAGACCTTTTTCTATATTTTGAGTATGGGGGGTAGATTATGGAAAGGAAAGGTATTAGCACCCTTTCCATCCGTGGTTTTCCATGGGCTCTTAAGTACTTGCTCATTTTGAAAACTGATTTCGTGTTTGT